CTGGGAGCCCAGGATCGCCCGCCGTATCGCCGCGACGCCAGCTCTGCCCTCCAAAAAAAAAAATTAGATTAATTTTTAATCTACTGTATAATTGTACAATATAATAGTGGAAGGTAATTTGCTCTCCAAATATTTTAGATTTCATATTTCATTTTAATTATATATACTGTTGTAAACCACTGGGAATCTTGATTAAATTATGGTGGTATATAAATAAATAAACTTTTGTTTATATTTGAGAAGTTATATGATAGAGAATAGATAGAAAGCATACAAATTTTTGTATCTATTGTGCTTGTCAATCTTTGAGGAAAATATTTTTTTAAAAAAAACTTCATCATGTTTATTTACATATGTGCCTTGAATATGTGAATAAGATTAATATCATTAATCATCCCCAGTAGGTAATTTGTCTACATTTATTTTAATATATTTTGAATTATCAAATACATATTTCACATTTAATGCTCTTTTATTTATGAGCACTTACAAATGACCTTATGTAGTCTTTAATATTTTGTATTACATGTTTATCTTCTGTCAACCTGAGACAAATTAATTCTTAAACTATTATTCTAGAAAATGTGACATTTTTCTTAAAATACCTTGTGGCAAAGTCTCTTTTAAGCTAAACACAATTCTTAATGACTATATGAACATGCCCATGCCATTTTCTTGGCAACAACACAGAAACAATTTACCATTGACTTCTCACAAAATGCTTTTCTGATTTCTGGGCTGGTCTACAGCCCTTAGATTTCTTCTAGATCTCAGATTTAAGTACAAACAGGACCTACACTGTTTAGCTTTCTGAGATCAGCCAAGCTCAGTAAATGTCATTTAGTGTGTGATATAAGAATGAAAGCTGAAATAACTAATCTTCAGTGCATAAATAAAAACCATTGAATGCTGTATTTTAACAAAAGGTATGTATAATTGCAAAACTAGCACACTGATTTGAATTAAATAACAGCTGCCTTTTTTAACTGCATAAAAGAAACATAAATTTGAATCTAAAATTGTAAATGCCAATACTTTTCAAAAATTTAAATCCAAAATATCTTTTATCTCAAAACAGCCTTAACTAGATTACTCACACATTAACACATAAAGTTGGGGATGGTTTCTTATAAGACAAAAGCTGTGTTACCCACGATCAAAATGATTTTGGGATACCATTTTCTATTTACAACAATTGACATAGGTTGAAATGGGAGGATATTGTGGGTATGTATAATTAGAAAATCAGGTTTTTAGTCCAGGAATGTGCATTTTGCCATCAAACTCCAAAACCCCTAAAATACTGGTCATTTGCTTTTATTTGAATTTGATCATAGACAAAATCAATTTCATCTCAACATTTGCTTATAATAGTTTAGATATTCATCAGGAAAAAAGAGGTTTGTGTACAACTTTGATTTTGAACTGAGCACACTTTATATTACAGTTTGTCAGATGGTTCGTTTCAAATCTGGCTTCTGGTGGAGCAGCTGGGGCTACTTCACTGTGTGTAGTATATCCACTAGACTTTGCACGAACTCGATTGGGTGCTGACATTGGCAAAGGTAAGGTGCTATATATTAAAAATATTTTAAAGATGTGCTTACCTGGCTATTTTAGTTTCTATATGCTTTGCTATCAATACTTGAGGAAAAATCAAGACTTGACATTTTAAACTTTCAATTGCAGGTACAGAAAGCTTATAACATAAAGTACATCTAGCGTTTTCTTTCTTCAACAGCCAATAGATGCCTCTAAGAAGTTCACAACTATGCCCCTTGTTTAATATGCTTCCCCACTATTAGGTGTTCTGTAGCAAATTGTTCTGAATTTGGAGATTCCATGGAGCATTCCTATTTACTGTATATTTGAATGATTAAGTGCCGGTCACTTTGAAAATGAAAGATACTATCCAAATATAAATAAGTTGCCTCATTTACACAACATGTAAAAATATCAAAGGTATTTGTTTTTAGTTTACCATGGTGTGTAAACTTATTCTAAGAAAGAAAAAAAAACTTGATTAACTTGGAGGTAGCAAACCATGGTTTGAATTTGTTTTATGAATTGTTTTCATCTTGGCTTGTTATACCTGAACAAACAATAGGATTGAGTGGTTGTGGATAGAGTGATTATGGAGCCCCTGTTGGTTTGGTTTGGTTTAAGGCTGGGGATTGTTCTTCCAGTCACCAGTGTTCTCTTTTTATATACAGTGGTACCTCGGTTCACGAACTTAATTCGTACCGCGACTCTGGTCGCAACCCAAATTGGTCGCGACCCGAATCAAATTTTCCCATAAGGTTCAATGTAAATATGATTAATCCATTCTGACTCCTCCGAATTTGGTCGCGACCCGATTTTTGGTCATGTCCCGAATCAAATTTCCCCATAAGGTTCAATGTACTTCCAGTCACCAGTGTTCTCTTTTTATATACAGTGGTACCTCGGTTCACGAACTTAATTCGTACCGCGACTCTGGTCGCAACCCAAATTGGTCGCGACCCGAATCAAATTTTCCCATAAGGTTCAATGTAAATATGATTAATCCATTCTGACTCCTCCGAATTTGGTCGCGACCCGATTTTTGGTCATGTCCCGAATCAAATTTCCCCATAAGGTTCAATGTAATTACAGTTAATCCGTTCTGAACCA